AAGAAGCTAATGTTTGGTTGGGTACATTTTTTATTAACATTTCACTTTAACCATGAGTGATTTTGACAGTAGCGCAGAGGGAAATTTAGAAGCTGTGAGTAATGCTGTATAGTATCCCCTGAACTCACTCTCATAATGTTCTGCCTGCTCCACACAGGGCTCTGAAGTGACTAACAGTGAAAGACGTACAGTTTTACTTCCTCAGTAACATTGACAATCTTACAGCATAGTTCCAGCATGCTGAATACAATGATGTTTCTCACTAAAATCACTGTTGTGTGACAAATCTGCATGGGAAAATATGCCTGACATGCATATTTGTACTCTTAGTTGAGTGTTAGTTGAGCATGTCCAGTCTGGAACAGTTTGTGAAGAAAAATGATTTTGTAGAAGAGTTTTAGGTCGTTTTAGGAAACGTGTGGGTTAGTCAAAGTCAGGCTCTGCTTAAGTACAAAGCCTAAAGTTCTCTTACAGTAGTATTCATACACCTTGAACAGTTCCACATGTTTCATTTCACATTGCAATCACAAACATTTATTTTATCATAGTTTTATTAGGATGTTATGTGATAGACCAACAAAAAGTAGTGGAACATTGTGAAGTGGAAGGAAAAGGATACATGGTTTTCAATTGTTTTTACAAATACAAATCTGTCAAGTGGCATGCATTTGAGTTCAGCCCCCTTTAATGTGATACCACTAAATAAAATCTTAACAACTCCAAATCCTAAAGCCTGTGCGTAACCTTACCTCATTATGAATCCTTTGCTTCTGTGAAGGCCTCAGAGGTTTGTTAGAGAAGATTAGTGAACAAAAAGCATCATGAAGACTAAAGAACACAGCAGACAATTCAGGGAGAATGTTGAAGAGATGTTTAAAGCATGATTAGGTTCTAAAATAATACCCCAAGCTTTGAACGTCTGACAGAGCTCTGTTCATTCCATCATTTGAACATGGAAAGTATGACAACCTTGACATCCACCTAAACTGACAGGCTGGACAAGGAGAACATAGAACGTAGATCAGAGAAGAAGCCAAGTAGCCCACTCTAACTCTGGAGGAGCTTCAGCGATCCACAGCTCAGGTAAGAAAATCTCAACAGGATCGCTATCTACTTTTGGAAGAAAGCCATAAGAAGTCATGTTTAAGGTTTACCACAAGGGATGTAGGGGACACAGCAAACATGGTGATGCTGTTCAGATGAGACTAAAATCAAACCTTTCTGCCTGGATGCAAAACACCATGTGTTTGAGAAAACTAACACTGTTCCTTATTTTGAACCCATTGTCCCTTCAGGTGAAACATGCTGGTGGCTGCATCATGATGTGGAGATGCATTTCTTCAGCAGGGAAAGGAAAGCAGGCTGGTTTTAAATATGGGGCAATCCTGAAATAAATAACAGTTAAACACTCCAAAACATTTATTAAGTCTGGGCCCTTCCAGCAGGACAATGGCCCTGAGCATACACCCGGAACTACAACAGAATGGTTTGACTGCAGTGTATCAATCTGGTAGAGTATTTACAATAGTATACAAAGAAGAATAACCAAAACTTTCAGTCTTTACATGTAGAAACCCGGATGAGACATGCCCTAAAAGATTTGTAGATGTAACTGAACTGAAAGGTGGTTCAACAAAGAAACCACTCAGAAGGGTTGAACACAATTATACGCCACACTTTTAAGATTTTTATCTGTAAAAAAAAATAAATTTTCTTCCACTTTACAATTATGCTCTACTTTGTGTTGGTCCTCCTTGTAATGTGACAGACTATAAAAAACTTTACGGGAGATCCATATCTCTGAAAGGTACTTCAAAATACAAAAGACTTAGAGGAAGAGGTGGATAGCAGACATGCAATGTGTAAAATCACATGTCTGCTCATTGTTGTTTTGACCTTCTGTTTATAAGTTAGCACAATTCTGTCTGGACGTAATGACATTTTAAAAATGTTTGGGTAAAATGCAACAGAGATACAGTACCATTCTATTCTATTCTGTTATGAGCTCCTTTCTTCACACCCAGTTGACTCCACAACTGTCTTTACCCACAGCCTGTGCATCTTTCAAGATACACTTACAGCAATGACAGGAACAAGCACTCAGTGTCTAGGCTCACAGCTTCCACCAGCACAGCACAGAAAACAACATCAGCACACAGCAGTACTTCAGTGATCTACGTCTGCCCTTTAGCCATATAAAACTGTTCTTGTATCTGCTTCAATCAGCCTGTCCCGAGTAATACGCTGAGCTGGTCCAGGTTATTAAATATGCATCATGTTTACAATCCTCGTCTACTGTCAATCACTGGGCATTGTGTAAAAAAAAACCCTCCCCTCAGTAAATAATGGACACATCATACTTTTGGCAGATGAATTCACCTCCTTCTGGTTTTAACAGTCTCTGCATACCAGAGCACAGCAGAGCTAACTCAGTTAACTCATTAACGCAGGAACTCCAGGCAGCTCTTCCATTGATCACTAGAAGCATTCGCAGCATTTTCATTACCAGATGGAGAGCTGTAGGATCGATTGCTAACACGACTACATCAGGCAGAAAGTAAACCTGCAGCTTTTTGCAAAAAGCCAAAGATTCCTACCTTGTGACAGACGAGTGGGCTGTTGGACCTGGAGTCCATCAACAGCACAGAGGTTTCCAGAGGGATGCAACATGATGACCCCTGACTTGTTCTCTATGTAACAGTGCTGGGCTGCCACCCCAGGACCCTGGATGTTGATGTCCACTGCACCATACCCCAGAGTGGTGCGGCCTAAAGGAAGGGAGATGTATTATCCTTCAAAAAGGTGGTGCCATAAAAAGGATTTACCTCTGATCATGTAAGGTTTACTGATATAATGTAATGTGCATGTATGAAGAGGGGAAATTTGCTTTCCAAAACATTTTTTTCCCAGCTAATCGTTTTTATAGAGCACCAAAAAAATTATTATTTACAATTTAATGGTCATTACAAAAAGCACAATGCTCAGCAGCCATCACCTCTACACATATGTTTGTTTTCATCAGTATATTCCGTTTCTCAGAGAGTTGTCACTCTCCTCAGGAACAGTTCTAGGTACAGTCAATGGAAGGGAGGAAATGGCAACTTCTTGGAAAACATTTTAGATGGTCGTTGCTTATGTTCTAGTGCAACGGCATACAGGTAATACAGCACATGGACCCATGTGTTTAAGTAATATGAGAAGAGTAAGCTATTGGCAAAGTTGCTATCGCATTTAGGTAGTTTTTTCATTGATTTATGGACAAAAAATTTCAAGAATCTATGTCATGTTTACAAGGAACGTTTTGGCAAGGGCTGATTTTGGAAAGAATTCAGCGTCCGCTTTGATAAGGCCTTTGTAATAATTGGATTGAATGGGCTTTATGTGTAAATTGGCCCTGCATAAAACAACCAAACAAGAACTGAATTACACTGAGATGAATATTATAGAGATCTGATTCTTTTTTATGTTCTGAAGATTCAAAGGAGCCTTTAACCTGTAGGCGTCCTTCAAAATGGAGGCAATCTTCAAACACAATGTCACAGACAGCTGACAAATAATCACTGAGCTATGTGCACAATCTGTTAGCCTGCACAAAACCCTGAAACGAAGGAGTTGGATAGGTCACTGGTGGGGAGGACTTTTGCTGTTCAGACAACACAGGACATAGCATAAAAAGAGACATCAGTCCCCATCTGTGTGAGTGATGCTTTAAATAAAAAGAAAGGTATTAAAATAATGATGAACAAATTTGATGGAAGTAAAGTGTGGCTAGAGCAATGCAATGGTAGTTTTTTACAGTAATTTCCTCTAATTTTTGTGATCTTTCTTCATCAGCCCTATTTTCTCTAGAAACATTGAAGTAATTGGGAGCTTTTTGGATCAGTTTTTGTGCCAATTGTTTGGAACTGCTGTGCTGAGTTTGTGTCGAAACAGCTGGCTCACCCTCAGGCAGGGGCAGCAAGGTGATCGCTGTACTCAGTCGTCCACTGCCCAGGCTGACCAGGTGGGGGCGCTCTGCTTGAAACTTCAGGCCCTTTCCAGTCTCAATTAAATCCAATGGGGTACTCTGCAGACAAGCATTTTACAAAAGCGCACAATTTAAACACAAAATTTAAACACAACTGTATTAAAGTTGATGATGATGAGGGTCTGATAAGTTCGGGTCAGAACTTCACAGCTTCACATGCTTCACAGCTTTAAATGTACATCCTACAGACAGACAGACAGAGAAATGATCTCTCTTCTTATCTCCCCTCTGGAGATAAAAAGAAGGAACTTTTTAAAACACTGATTTCTCTTCCTGTTTACACACTAAGAAAAGTGCAAGTGTGTGGAATGTGTGTGTGTTTCCCCGTCCTCCTCCAAGCTCTGCCTGAAGCACCACCATGTGCTCACAGCTGAGCAAGATGGGGGGGGGTCACCATGGTAACAGCTCTCCACAGTTATGAGACATGAGGCTCCTGGAGGCTGTTCAGAGAACTAACTTGTGTTGAGCGCTCTCAGCACAGCCTGAATATAAAAACAATTCTGCTTTTTAGTGATTTGCTTTTCGTTAAATTAATCCCACCGCAGCGATTTTCTCCTAGCCCTCCTAGGGTTTCAAAACACTGAATAAATTAATTTTTCTTTCCTGCTTAGTAAAGTACTTTATGCTGTATGCATAATACCAGGGTGCTGAAACAGAAACAGGGTGATGGAATTCAGCCTTCACTCATTTTCTTATTTACAGTCAGTCATTTTCTACTGCTTCTTCCATAGTGAGTCAAGGGGAAGCTGATGCGTATCTCCAGCAGTCTATGGGTGAGAGGCGGGGCACACCCTGGACAGGTCGCCAGTCCATCGCACACAATCAACCATGCACACACTCATTCATACATCTAAGGGCAATTTAGAGAGACCAATTAACCTAACAGGCATGTCTTTGGACTGTGGGAGGAAGCCGGAGTACCCGGTGAGAACCCACGCATGCAAACATGCAAACATGCAAACTCCATGCGGAAAGACCCCTGGACGGGAATCGATCCCAGGATCGATTGCACTGTTGCAAGGCAACAGTGCTACCAACTGCGCCACCGTGGAGCCCCTTCTTATTCACAATGACTTATTTTCTTATTGTCTTGATCATTGAGGTAGATAACTGAATAATCCCACACTGAATTAAAAGAAAGACATCAACAAGGAGTATAGGAGTTATACAGAGCACAACTCAGGTCAAAGTGGGTTTCTACTAGCTTCAGCCACCAAGATATCATAGAACCTCATGCAATTACTATTTTATAAACCTTTAAACTGTTGCATTATACAGTTACAGTTTGTGCTACTTTCTCGTGCCGTTGCAGTAATGCAAGGCTCAACATTTCAACCATCCCTAAAACCACTGGTCCACAGCTTACCCTGATCATGCAATGTGCTTTTATTCTGCTTTCACAGTTGTCTATCAGGTGAAGAACCTGGTTCTAGTTTTTTTTTCAACAGACTGGGTTTCATCTTTATTAACTGACTATCAATCTTGATCCTAAGTATTTTGAAGTCCTGACATTTCACTGGTCTTTATTTGCAATTGGTGTTTTGGTTTTAGGATAATTATGTCCTGGGGTAGCTGAAGAGTTATATGAATGCTGATGGGTGTGGACTCACTCAGCAGCACAGATTTGCATATTAAAACATACTTTGACTGTGTCTTTTTGTTCCACTTTTAAGCCTTTATGCTTATTTATTTGGAACTTGGGATTCGATAGTTGATCCCCGCCTGTGGTTGGGTTGCTATCTGTGTGTGTGTGTCATACAAGGATTATCTGATTGTAGTGGTCCAATGGTGAAGTGGGGTCAAACCTAAGAGGATCACTGAGTTAAAAACTGGCATGCTGGGAAGGCTGACAGGGAGTAATGGGAGGTGCCGGGATTCACACTCGCCTATCTTCTGTGTGCTGCTGCTCCCAAGTGGTGCACTCTGCAACAGTTTGCTCCTTTTCCTTCTGTCTGCACTGATACTTCAGACTGCATGAGTGCATTGCCATCATGCCATCTAATGCATGCATACACTCATGTACCGTTAGGAGAAATTTTGCAAATGATTTCCATATTACAGGTTGTCAAAGTTCCTGCATTCCACCTGATTAGGAATTTTATAAGATCCAGAGCAACCAGTTACCTTCATCACTTCATAAAAAAAACCATTAGAGGTCCAGGGACACGGCAAGTATGTGGAAGAAGGTGCTCTGGTCAGACCACAGCAAAATGGACATTCATATTGGTGTTTAGATGTTTGTTAATTCCCTGGATTCCTATGTTGGATGTTTTAGTTTGTAGATCTGTTTTCTTCCTGTTTATGTTCTTTTGGTATTTTCATTGTTTACTTATTTCAGTTCACTTAGATGTTATCTGTTAACTCCTTAGTCTCCCTGCTCATCAGTGTTTGTTAGTCACCCTCCCCCAGTTGAACTTCACTCTCTCTCTTCCACCAGCTGTTCTTAATTCTCCTCTGATTAGCTCCATTGGTCCATTCACCACTCTCCTTCAGTATTTATACTCCCTGATTGTCATTGTTCCCAACTGGTTCCTCCTGCCTGTGTTTTTTTATGTCCTGCCTAAGACTGTAAGTTAACTGGTTCAAATCATTAAAAAACAATCTACTCACCATGCTGCTTCCTCGCTCTTGTCTGCACTTTGGTCCTGCAAAACCCTCACTCGCCAAGACATATCCTGAACACACTATTTTCACCATTAAACATGGTAGTGGCGGCATCATGGTGTGGGAATGGTTTTGTTCAGCAGGAACAGGGAAGCTGGTCAGAAGTGTTGGGAAAAGTGCTGAGGCTAAATACAAGGCAATCCTGGAAGTAACCTTGCAGTTAAAGGTGTACAGATGTTCGAGGTCTATCTTTGTAAAATAATAATTATTTTCTAGCATTATTCTTCCACTTCCCAATTATGCTTAACTTTGTGTTGGTCTACCACATACATTCCCCATTAAACACATTGAAGTTTGTAGTTGCCTTCTACCAAATGTTGGAAACTTAAAAGAATAGTAATTCATTTGGCGAGGCCATATTCTACAGCAACATTCGTTGGTCTAAAGAGGAAATTCAGGCCTTCTGTGCAGGCAAAACACATTTAAACCATCAGCACTCCAACACCATCTTTGATTAATAATTTATTATTATATACAGGATGACCACTCCTCACATACACACATAACGACAGACACACACATAAACCTCTCCCCTTAAGGCCTAATAGGATTGTCAGAGGCAGCAGGTGGGAAGCATCCAATCTCAGGGTCTAATTACTCAGGGTACTTAACAACACACAGACATCTGCTGTCAGAGTACACTCCAGCAGTTCTGCCTCACCCAACTTGCAGCTTCTTTAACTCTGTGTTTGTCATCTAAGGAGAGTTGGAGCAACATCAATGTGTCTAAGCGACCACATCAACAAATACTCTCATTCTCATTCAATAACGACACATGCTGGTGTCCTTCAAAAGAGGCTTTCAAGTTGTAACCTCCAGCTCTTTTCTATCACTACTTCAAACACACACACTCACCTGTAAAACCTGGTGAGTTTGCCGTCCGAACTCAGGCATGTTCCTGTTCAAGCGATCCATGTCCACAGAGTTGTCCACGTCTCCCTGGGACACAGGAAGATCCTGGGAAGGATAGAGGACAACATTGAAACATTGAGAGTTAAAAGTTGCCAACAACAAAGCGAACAAAGATTACTGTATAAAAGCCTTGCATTGTTTGTCTTCTCATGTAACTTCATGAAACAATCATTTTTGAAGGCCTGACTATATTAACTGGGATTCCTCCTTTCTGTCTGCCTACATACCATCACATTAAAGGTGTGATTCATGCTGTCATCACAAAGACAAAAAACAGATGGCAGACAGAGGAAGGAACATGTATTTACACAATCCTACATATTTAAATTCGTCAGAAGTTAACACATTCACTGAACACTCGCCACAGATGCTTACACAAATCCCAAAAGGGCATCTTTCTTACCTGGGCTCCTTCTGGGTATTTCCATTAATTCAACACAGGGCTAACCTCTTTTTATAATCTTACTGTCTATATTAGCACAAGTCTTAAGCAACCACATTCTGCATAAGTGTGAGACAATATATTTTTGCAGTCATTAGATGAGACATGAGACACGTTGTGGTTTTGTATGCAGGGGAGGTTAGAAAGCAGATAATTATCCTAGTCACAGAGCGTTCCAGAGATGTGTGCATGTGCAAACTGTTGTGCAGCAGGGATGGAAAATATGTTTCTGATGTGCTTTGGCCTCAGGCTATCTAAACACTGCAGCAAATAGCCTCATGTTTGCTTTCCTGGCAGAACCATGAAATGATATTCAGTGCACTCAGCCTGAAGCAAGCACCAAGCAGAGATTCACAAAACAGCCCAGAAAATAAAAGGAAATATTTGGAAAGTTTCATCTGTAAACTCCTGTGCAGGAAAAAACAGCTTGAATCAGTTTTTCCATTAATGCTAATCTCTCTTATCAGCTAGTCATATTTACCTTTCTCCAGTGGTCCAGCAAGTGCATTGCCTCCATGTCAAAGAGCTCCTTGTGGCTGAATGAATCCTATCAGAGTCAGCTTTATTGGCCAGGACAGCTTAAAGACTGCAGAGCGACTCCAGTGCTGTTTGTTTCAGGGAAACACTGTCTGTATCTTTTTGTTTAAAGCTACCGGTGCGGTACCTTCAACAAACTACCACTCAGGAGGTCAGACCTGTTGCTGCCTGCTCCACTAAACTAAGACCTACATTCCTAAATGGCAGCTTTAACTCACATAAAGCAAAGAGAGGCGTAGGTGTGTGTGTGTTTTGTGTTTGTGTGTGCGTGGGTGTGTGTGTGTGTGTGTGTGTGTGTGTGAACAGTAATCAAAAGGGAGAAGTGAGGAAAAGAGCAATTTAAAGAAAAAATAATTTAATGATGATTGAAATATTGGGTCAGAAATTACACAGGATGCCAACAGTGAACAGACTAGACAAGCTACTATGAATAAGGCATGAGCAGGAAGATGTAAGGTATTTCAGAAAAATGCATATACAAGCACTACGTGGTCTTTTCCACACTTGCTCATGTGGCAACATCATTTGATTACTACTGTTTTATTTGCATGAGAAAGCTTTATTATCATGCTCACAACAACACATGCATGGTAAATATATGATATAATAATAAACTGATGTTTAAAAGAAAAAATCAAGTCAAACCCTTTCTGGAAATAACCCTTTAGTTCACTGCTGAGGGAAGGTAAGAGAGCAGACGTGAACTTTAGCATCTAATGGTTAGCCAGCTCCTGTATTCTCACAGTGTTTTCAAACAGTTTGCATCTTGTCAGTCTATCAATGTTTCGTTTTTCTAACGGATACCCAAAAGGCTTTCACACAAACAATTTGAAAGGTGTGGAGGATCATTTTGTGGCACAGTTTGCCGCCCTTTGTGCCCACTGAGCATTGTTTGAACACCACAGCTTGCCTGAGTATCGATGCTGACCATGTCCATCACTTTATAAGCACAGTATTCCAGTCTTTTGGTGGATACTTCCAGGAGGATAATGCTCTATGTCCCAAAGCTCAAATCATTTTTAAACTGGCTTCTTCAACATGACCATTAGTTCACTGTACTCCAGTGGCCTTCACAGTTACAAGATCTGAGTTTAGTAGAGCCTCCTTGGGATATAGTGGAACAAGAGATTTGTATAACGGATGTCCATCTGACAAATTTGCAGCAACTGCAGATTATTTCAGTATGGACCAAAATCTCTGAAGAATGTTACTGACACCTTGTTAATTGTATAACATAACAAATCAGGGCAGTTATGAACATAAAAAGTGCAAATCAGGGTGTACCTAACAAAGTGGCCGGTGGGTAAATAGGGTTGGATTAATATCTCGGTATACCCCCATTTATCTCCCTCTGGCTTGCAACTGTAGGTTCATCTGCAGTACTTGAAGTTTACTGCATTAGATCTAAAATAATTTCTTCACCTTAACCTCACAGATTTTTTTGAGTATGCATGGATGCAGACAAACAGGTACTACTAAAATGAAAACGCAGCCATTTCA